TATACACACTGTCCTAGCTTTTTGGGAATTGGGATTATAACTCATTACAGCTGTCTAAACAGCACTGCCTTATAAGTAAGTGCAGTGTTTTGTTATATATATGAATATATATTTCTTATACATAGTATGCATATATTTAAGTAGCCATAGTTTTCAGGGTTTTCCCTTAGGTAATAGAACCTGGTACCAGGTACTTTTTCAGTACCTACTTGCCCAGTGTTCCAAGTGATCCAAGCAGGTACTAAAATATGACGTTGTCAGACTGCACGCCACCAATTGGCTGGTCAGTAGGGTTACTCGATGAGTCATGAGAGCTTCTCCTTTATGAAATTCAGAATTGCCATTTTTCAACCAGAGACATAGCAGCAGGTATCGCGTTGCCTTGACATCTACCTTTGTTGTAGGGTTTGTTTTACATACTAATTACATCACGGGACAACAACAATGTACATTAGGTAGTAAACCCTGTTAAGTCGTGGTGATCCATGGTGAGTTGATCCAACTAGGTACTAATACAAAAGGTTCTTTTGATTTAAGCAGAGCAGGGCTGAGCGCATAGCTGTAATCCACAACTTGTTGTTACAATAAACAAGATTATTTACATTCTCAGGAGTGGCCCCAACAGACTAAGAGACTTGGAGAGTATAATCCCAACCTAAGGTGGAACAAGATAGAGGACAACTTAAAAACATAACATGGACAGAGCAAAAAGCACATATGCATAAACAACACTGTCGGGAATATTTAGGAGATCTAAGCATGCTGCACTTAAATATGTAAAAGGAGAATTGGAGATGCAATACCAAGAAAAGAACAAACAGCTGACCCAAATTTCTAAGAAATTAGCAGTTGGTTAAATAGTATGATTCAGGGCGTGCACATCAGAAAGAAATGTATTCAGGTTTGAAAACAGAGTTAGAGAAATATATAAACTTCAGCTGGAAACCGGCTAATAGAAACTCAATAATGCATGATATTAGAATGTTTCTATGTCTTACATAAGCTTGGAGTGAACACTTTAAAATAAGATTGAAAAAAATTTATATATATATAGATGCATGCTTCATGGAGAAATCAAAAATATGCACCGTTTGCCTTCTCTCACCGAGTAGAATCATTGTCGTTTGACTCATCATGAGAGGCAGAGAGCCTTAGCCTGAAGCACCCCCTCCTCTCTACATCCCTAATGTCTACCATTAAGCCTGTTTTGACAGAAGATTACGTGGCGCCTTTCTTTTAACTGTAGGAGGCCGTCCACCCACTCTGCTCTTGTGGCAGTACAGAAGAATGTGAAGGTTGACCAGAAACATTATTCTCATTATTCTTTGATGGAAATCATAGTCACAGCCACATATGTGGAAAAAACCCTGCAAAGTCTCACTTCACTTTTTATGGTTTGACATCGTCCACATTTTGAAGAAGGCATTAATAAAATCGCATTGCTGGAAAATTTCAATTTTGAATGTCTCTTGTCTTCACTGGCAAACAAAGCAGAAAATATGGTCAAACTGAAGGACAAGAAAATCCATGAAAACCCCATTCTACAACTCAAAGATTTACCCCCCACATCCCACCACCAGACACTAATTATGGCCAAAAGGATACTCACAATTATTTTAATCAATATTGAGATCACTTGTTTCTCACAACCTTACCTTGATTTTAGTGACAAAACTGTTTTTAATGGACTGTCATTTGACTGCTGCTTTCACATCCATGTTGTTCCACATTCTTACTACAGCAAAATAAAATTGGTCCTCCAAATTCACCTAAATTCAATGCATCTCTAAAAAATAAAGAAAAAGAAAAATCGCTCAGCTTTCCCATTAACCTTGTTCTAAATTCACGTTTATTAAGTCCCTCTCTTAGAAGCAAAATAGAAAGTGTTTCACTTCGTACCTGCATAATGGATGTGAAGAAAAAAATCCAGAGAAAAGTATTCAACATCTGTGAGATCCGTTTTTCCCTTCCATGTGATGTTTTGCATATTGTACTGTGGAGGTATTGCCAGTTAGAGTAAATCATTGCGTGAGGGGATAACATATCTTTGGTTGATCGGAAGTATTTGCTTTGAGAAAAAAGCTCTTTACCTTCTGCTGTTACAGACTTTGGAATCGATGATTGTTGTATGCCCGACTGTGAAATGCATAAGTGGAAGAGGATGGATTGATGAATGGATGGATTTGCCTTATGATGTAGTGTTACTCATCCAGGAAACATCAAGCAGCATAGTTACAGTGCACAGTTTTGACTGGCACATGCAGACACATCATCAGGCATAGTTTTAGGGTTGCTTTTGCTTTGCATTTTAATTGGCTCAGCAGGCATTTTTTTTTTATATTACTTAATAATGTTCATTTAATTGTAGGAAAACAAAATTATGATCAAGATTCAAATTCGACTGTGCAGTCCTAGTCCTATCGTTCTTCACTATGGGGGCACGAGTATGAATGTGCCCCCATAGTGAAGCAGTGCAATTACTTGCAGGAATTTGAAGGGATTAATCGTTTTATGAGTCTGCTGATCTCCAAGTGAGAGTTTATAACACTGAACTAACAGCTTTTTTATTTTTGAGTGCAATTTGCTCTGTATGTAAGTGAATATTAAAAAAGAAAAGAAATTCTATAATGTGTTTACACATAATTTGGGGAAAGCTCAACGTGCACTCCCACATTACTATAGACGAGCATGCCCACTGTATGTACTACATCTTTATCTTCAACTTCTCTTTGTTTCCAATACATTTCTTCTGCTTTTCTCTTCCTATTTATCTCCCTCATACCTCACACTGCTGAATTATATTTGATTCATGGGAAAGTTGCTGCTCTTCTCTGTGTTCCAGCACCGTTATGCTCTCATAAAATTTGGCTTTGATTGATTACCTGCATTTCTCTATCCCTTCCTCCTTTTCTATCCCTCTCTGTAGTCCATTAGTTATGGTAATGTTGGGTTAAATACATCTTAACTTGCTGGTGATTGATTTACACTTCCACACCCATAAGCATCCCCTCCCTTTCTTCCCTCCTCTCCCACACTCTCCCAGCAGTGTATGTAATGCATAACTTTTGAGGACAGATGCTGTTAGTGTTTGGAGCACTCAGGCTAAAAGGCGGGCATAGCTGACAGCTCCACTGTACAGCCTGCTGACAGAGCTCGAGCTGAGGGGTCAGATGATGAATCTGCTGTGTCACACAACTACACAGAACTAAGTGCAATGCTTCTGCCATCAAGACTCACATGGCGTATGTGACAGACACACAACATAGATCTATATATATAGCTTGCTTTATTTCTAAAGCAGAGCAAACAACACACAAAAGACAGTCTTACTAGCTTATTAGAAATGATAGTTGCTGTTTGAGCATTGTCATAATATATGGTAAAATGCACTGCAGTCAACCTGCAGCATGCAGGTCTTAACTCACCATGTTTATAGTATTGATCAGATGAAACTGTCTTACTCAAAACACTTTGTTATAACACTGAACTGAAATGGCAGTTTTGTTGTTTCATATTTGCAGCAGTCATTTGTAACTATAATTTTTTAGCTATTACTGTGGCTGGAAAATAACATTTTATTGGTTTTCTGCTTACATTTGTCCTGATCATGCAACAGTGCACTGGCCATAAATTAACATTTTTAATCAATCCAATTATACTTTTACTCTTCTTTTATTTCACTCATATTTTTCTTGTTCTTAGTCTGTTTTGCAGAGTTACAGATAATACAGGTAAGCTGTTATTTTTGAAAAAATTGCTAAAATTTACAACACTACACACAGCCACTTCATTAGGTACACCTGTTCAGTTACTCATTAACGCAAATACGCAAACAACCAAACACATGTCGATATGGTCAAGTGATTCTGAACATGTATTTTAGAAAGTGCTGATTAACACATATTTCACTGCACATATCTCTGGAATGGTCTGAAAAAGAAAAAAATAATAATATAAATATGTTACCTAGATATCAACTTAAAGTAGGGACCACTTGTCACAAGATATGCAGAAGACCCTCTATGAATGCACAACACAGCTAACAATGAAGGAGATGGGCTACAGCAGCAGAAGACCTCACCTGGTATGCTTCCTGTCAGCTAAGAACAGGAAACGGAGGCTAAAACTTGTATGGGTTCACCAAAAAAGATAAACAGAACATTGAAAAAACATCTCCTGGTCTCATGAGTCTCAATTTCTGATGAAACATTCAGCTCTGAAAGCAAAAAATAATCCAAACTGGTACTAATAACGTGCAACTAATAAGGTGGCTGAAAAGTGTACAATTCATGAGCTCATGCTTTAACTCATATTTGATCGAACAAAAGTAAATAAAGATAAATAAACAACATGCCAGCATAACTACATACTTTCAGGCAATAATATTTTAGCTTGAAAATAAAAAAAAAAAGATTGATGTATTTTCTCTTTTTAAGGACTAATATAAGTTTTTCTTGTGAGGAAGTTAATGGGCCTCAAAGACATTAAAGAGATGTCTACAACTTGAAAGTTTGTTACATTGAAAGAAGAGAAAGAACATGCACGTTGACAGACAAACACACACAACATCCCATTCACACCCTTACAAAACACAGGCTCGTGCTTACATGCTGGGTGTTAATGTGAAAGCCTGAACACTTCAGGGACCCAGTGATCCCCAGATCCATCTCTGACCTGACAGCAGTCCTCCATTAGCCTCACACGCACACGCGCACACAAATGCCGCAACAGAATGCACTCCTAAAATACTCTGTCAGAAACACACGTGGCACACATACAGGATACATCTGAGCTGGAGAGCAGGGGTAGAGTCATGCACAGAAGTCACAGAAACCAGACGTACAGCTGCTGAACCCAAAACATAGCACTTGGAGAAAAATATCTAAACAATTCCTTTGTGTAATTAAAATTCTCCAAATCATACAAGTAAGCACAAAAACAAAGGCACTTTAGAGAAAGCACATATTAACTAATGCAAATGTGACACGAGGTCGCCTCACCTGTCGCGATCCCCAGCTGTGATGTTATGAAGGTGATTAGCAGCTCCATCAGCACATGCCCTCAAGAGAGCTATAGAAAGAAAGATGCATATTTATCCAGTTTGTTTGAAATAAATGGTGCATATTTCTACAATTTCCTCTAAAGGTGCAACAAGATTCTCTTCAAACCTTTACGAACACACATGTAGTGTTGATCAAGTCTCTTATGGATCAGTAACCTGGATACAGTCACTTAAGGATTTCTTGAGTCAATTTTTATTTTACCATATACCATAACTTTAATTTTTTTCCATACGCCTCATTACCATAATTAAGAAATGTGCCATTATGAGTGCGAAAAATAAAATAATTAAGGAGCTTGTATATTTAGATACGCTATCATTAGGAACCAGCTCACACGCGACATCTTTCCACTGTCACTTCTAATAAATGTAATTCACACTCGCTCTTTTTATCCCCGAAAAGTTTCCTTTCAAAACGTGTCAAGTGTTTTTTTTTTTTTTTCAAAAAACACATTTATACAAAAAGGGACTTATATAACATTAACAATGTGTTATTTTTAAGAAAGTACTTTGAACGCCAACATCAGCATTCCCAAGGTTTTTTGATAAATGGATTTACTTCAATCATTGCAGAAATGTACAAAGTTTGAATAAGGTCCAAATTTTTTAGAAAGAAACCACTTTCTCCCAATGAAAACATTACAAGCGGCGCGTTCCACAGTGCCAGCAAAGCATTATGGTTAAAGCTATTTGACCCTTTAAAAGGGAAAGGCAGCGAAAGAGCACTTATCTTTTTAGCTTTAAGTAACACTCAAATGATGGGATTATTTGCCATTCTTAAAATATTATTCAAGTTGCACTAAATTAGATGCAAACCATTTGCAAATGTATGCTCTCTCTCTCTCTGCTTCTATTCTATTCAAATTTAACACGCAACCTATTTTTTTAAGAGCCCTTTTCTGTTTAGGGCTGCCGTGTTCACACAAGGGAAAACTTCAAAGGATCAGCCAAAGTTTTACTTTCACCTTGTTTAAAACTAACTAAAGCCTGCACCACAGAGACGGGCAACACTCGTGCATTTTTATGTCTCTAAAGCTTTCTTTTCAAGAACTGTGTCCATTCCCCCAACCCAGTACTTTTCATACGCTTGATATAACTCTGTGTTGTGTTTGGAACACGGAACCCCCCCAAAGTTTACTTCTCATTTAATGTGAACTTAGAAAAGAAGACATTAGTCTAAATAAAGTGGTATTTAGCGTTTGAATATTACTTTGCATTCCTAGGTGTTTCATTATTAACTAAATAATGCTGAAAAGATGTTTGGCTGTGGTATAAAAAAAAAAAAAGGAAAAAAAAAAATCACACTCCTGGGGAAAGACGCACTGCTTTTCACACATCATACATGCACATACTGAGTGAACTGTGACAAGAAATACAACAGATGTGCAACAGTGTCAACTTGAAATAGGTGCTAAAACCGACTTTTACATATGGCACAACTTTTAACACATCAGCAGCACCGTGGTCTCTAAAAATACGTGAAGGACTTAACAATGTACATCACACCTACATACTGTAAATCACATTTAAACGTATGCTAAATTGGACGCAATTAGCGAGATAAAAGGAGAAGAATGATTATTCTCACATTCTGAGTCTAACTCTCCTCACCCTTAGCTCTTAAAAAGCGACAACGCAGATGCATTTGCACTGATGTAAATAAGACGCTTATACTGAAGGTACTGCTTTTATTCATAACCTCCACCACCTGCTGCCGATGTTTCACATCAAGAAATGATTGGAATGTAAATGACTCATTATCTCTGACAGAGAGCAAAGGCTAAGAAACTTTTCAAATGACAACTCCTTGAAAAACAGAAACTTTCCTTTAAGACCGGTGACAGACTGTAAAGCTATCAGTCATTATCTGTGTATACCGGTAAGTGTGTGCATACACACACAGACACTGAATAATTTTCAGACTTCACACAAATTTGAGAACAGTAACTTCTGTCTGTCAGTTGTTTTTTTGCAGCTCTGTCTATATTGCGCTCCATTTAAGCGTACAAACACATGTGGTTACAATAAATCTAAAAGCCTTACCAACATCAGAAAAATGTTTCAAAATGATGTATTGTCATTTGTAGCAATGATTATTACATGCAATAGCGTGGCTATATTTATTTTACTTGTAGTGATCCGGTAATCTCGACACATTCTTTCTAAGTTGTAAGAAAAAGAGCTGCCAGTCCGTCACTCAGTAACACTTTAGAGCGGAGACTTCTCCTAGACAATACTTGTTTAGATGTGCAGTACTTCCAGTACTGTCTAAAAGTCCATTTTAACTTTACATGACTTTAAAATGCAAATAGAAAATCTTATAAAAGATTGTTTTTACAACCTCCTGCCTGACTTAAAATAAGGACAGTTTACAGCGATGAGTTAAAAAAAAAAAGCAATCTCATAAAATAATAATAATTGAGCAGTGGTGTAACAGCACAAAACCAAAAGCTATGTATTTGTTAAGCAAGCAAGAAACTACCTGTTCTTAACAAGTGTTAGCATGACTCTGCTCAATAGGCGACGAATTAATTTGTTATATTAACAGTTTATTTCGAGTAAATGAGTTAAGAATTAACATTTTGCTGCAAATACAATGATTTCTTGGTGAATGATCATCTTGCAAGAGGTGTTTGCAGACACACAGACAGCGATTTGGTGTATTATAGTGAGAATGTTTGCATGTTAAATGTCAACCGTTACGGTCCTTTTCTTGTGTTGCAGGTCTGCCTCATGAGCCACAGCTGAGGTGTGTTCCAGCTCGTCAGCCACGGCATATAGTCTGCCATCCTAAACTGCCACAGCCCTGCCGCTTTCCCCATTTTTGCCAGAGCTATGAGCTGTAGTGTTTTGGGCAGCGGGCCTTAGTGTGTATGGGTGTGAGAACTTAAACTCTGTGAACTTTGGTTTTCTTTCTTTTATTGTAAGCAAAGGTGTGCCCTTATTGTGTTAATTAGTTCATCATTGTGGAAGCAGGTAGGGGTTCTCTGCCATTTTTGTTTCAACTGTTTTCTCCTGTTTTTGGTTAGACAGGGAGCTCAGCCATTGTATTTTGTTTTGGTTAGTGAGTACTTGGTTTGATTTTTAGCTAAAGGGGGTGTTTTGTTTGTTGTTTTGGCCTTGGAGACCCTGAAGAAAAGAGCTTCCCTGTGTTCATTTTTACTGTAGTAGTTTTGGGCAATAAATCACGTTTAAATGACATCTATTCTCCAGTAGTTCATGTGTTCTCTTTCACTTTGTGTTACCCCTCACTCCAGTCAACACTTCATTTTTAAGTGGGGCATAACATCAACTGATGTAGAGGCCTGAAATATATTCCTCCATAGCTTTGCCAATGGTCAGAAAATTGCTTGAGAAGCATTTATTTGGTCAGTCAGCTGACATGTGCCTGATAATACCCATTTAAAGACATTTTATACATGATACAGTGTGGCCATGCTGAAGTAAACTGAATTAGCATCAGCCCTTAGGACCAGGTTGGACCAAATGCCTGCGACTCACTGGCTAATTTTCTATGGTTACTTGTATTTTTTTCCCTCTAAATTGTCACTGTGAAGGCCTTTGATTCATTTCTGCATGTCAAATACTCAGAAAGTGAGTTCTCCTGTTTTAACACTGCTATTCTTGACACAAATCCTTTAGAGTCAGAAATGTGCATACAACAGATTTCTCAATGTCCCATTTGTCTTCATCACAGTAAATGGCTCAAGTGGGTAAACTGAACTTGAGAAAGATTATCTCTCCATCTGTACTCTATCCGCAGGCAGTAAAATCTAATTACTGTTATTCTGTTGTTTGAAGAAGACCACAAATACAACAATTAACTCATCTTCTCCTTCACATCAGGGCATTTGAGCCTAACAAGCTCATTCACATACATACAAACACAGCAGCATAAAGGTTTTGGGAACCCAGAATTTATGTCACTGTTAAACTGATGTCCAAAAGGCATGATGTTAAATATTAAATATTACTTTCTACATTATTATTTTTATTTTGTATAATTTCAAAGGAAAGAGTGAAGGAGTGCTATGCTAAAGTTCGGGCAGAGTTCAAGCTTTCATAACTTAACAGAGTGTCCTTTTACCTTGTTCAAAAGCTAAAAGGACATAGGATGCAAATTTCAAAGTTATACATAGTGCTTGGACCTTGTCCTATCAATCAGCAGTCATGGGTTCCTCTAAGCAGCTGCCTAGCATTCTGAAAATAATTGATGCCCATAGAGAACAGACGAAAAATGGTTTTGGGGTAGCCACTTGCTCATTTAATAATCCAGTTAAGAAATAGAAATTAACAAGTATGTGGAGGTCTTGCTAAGATCTATAAGGGAACTTTCCAAGAAAATTGTTCACAGGATAAGCAGAATGGCAAATCACTTATTTCTCCTAAAGAGGCCTTGAAGAAGATTTTGAAGCCTCTGTAGTGGTGGTGTAACAATCCTAATGTATCTTGGAAACAGGGTCTGTGGACTGATAAAGTTATAACAGTTTTGTTTTTTCTGTATTTTTGAAGCAGAAACACATTTGGATTTTAAAAAAA